GTCAGCCTCAAACAAAGCACGCAGCTGCTCTGGGACACGAGCTTCAAAGGCCTGCGGCGAACGCACAATGGAGTCACACAGCTCGTTTCACGGATGAAAGCTATGGGAAGGGATGTGGTGGGAAGAGCCATTCCACTGCGCACTCTGTCAAGCAAACCTAGCATTATGTCCGCCAAATTGGCCAACTCATGGGAGATACAGGTACCTTCCGCAATGCATAGGGTGATCATCGAATCCGTTCCAATGGATACTGCAGGGTGCCAATCCTTGGTGTGAGAAGCTAGGAGGAGCCAGGATAAGGACCATACGCATGCAGCAATCTCAGAAGCTGTGCTGCTATGCTTGACTGGCATGGCATCTTCTGGGATCGTGTATTCTAGTAGGCCTTTACGATACCCATTGAAACTGACATCGTCGTGGTCAACGAAACAAACCGTGAACGCCCACGCGTCATCCTTAGGATTTTCTTCATAGTGCGAACCATCAGTGTATATGGCCACTCGATATGTGAACGACTCGGCCCTGGGGGCAACATCGACCGCGAACTTTGCAGCAGGATGCAAATCCACGTCGTTGGTTTCATGAGAAAGTTCCAGGCCACCGAACAATTCTTTTAACCCCTTAAGGAAGACATCGGTGTCCTCCATAACTCTGCAAGAAACAACAGGAGCTTCCTCAGAAGACCCATGCGGTGAGCACGCAATACCCAGGATCCTATGTTCACCCGAGGAGTCTTGCACTCGGCTTTCACCATCCCTTGGAAAAAGCAAAGAATCTAAGCACAGGATTGGAGGCGCAAGGCTGCGAAGCGTGTGAGATCTACCCCTGACCTCTCCTTCGCTGTAGGTATTAGGATGTGCACTTGCTGCACAGTCCAACGGATGATACTCGTGTGAAACCTGGGAGCTAGCTATAAGTCTGTCCAACAGTAGGGGGGCTCTCCCCTGTCTCACCCTAGCAGCACCTGTGTTTTCATTGTTAGTGGACACCCCTAAAAGACTAGTATGCCCGCAAATCGGCACATCAAAACTGGAGTCTGAGCTGACTGGAGGGATGCTTCCCGTTGCATCCTTCCTCTTCAAAATGCTCTTGACTGGGTGGCGGGAGGCGCTGGCCTCTTGATGGTGTGAAACTGCTGAGCAACGCTGGCTACTCACTGATGGGTCAAATTGATGTATGACCGAGGACGCAAACGTAACCTTTGTCGCTGTCTTCGATCTCCATCTCCTCTGGCAAATTGTACTTCTGCTCATATATCCTCTTGCTCATACCCTTCCAGGCGTTGAAGCTTCCGTGGAGGCGATATTCCATGTGTTATTGACCCGGGTCCCTGGATTTGTTCCATCTGGGCCCTGTCCATCGGCTGAGTCGGCGACGCCATCTCGTGATAGGGAACCTCCTCGACCATTGAGCCCCACATCTGCTTCGGCCCTGGTGTATCTGGAACTTCCATGTCCGCCGCGTCTGGCTTCTTTTTGATTGGCGTCCTCGGTAATTCGGCGTCTGGAGGTTCCTGTGGGTGAGGAGGTGCGTCTCCAACTACAAGTGGCGAGGCAATTTGAAAAACTGAGCTCTCCTCCGTACCAGGAGTCGGACTGGAATGCTGGGCTGCCCATTGTTGTGAGAGCGTCGGCTTGCCATGCGTCATCAAGTCGGCCATCCTTTGAATTTTTGATTGCATATGAGCCTGCTGCTGCTGCATGGCCATCATATTTTGATGCATCTGCATGACCATGACACTGCTCTGAGGAGGTGGCTGACTGACTGGCGCTGGCGGCGGCGGAACCCTTTGCCCATAAAAGGGACATGACGAACATGATCCGAAGGGCCCCGTGGAAGCCGTCACTGCTGCGAACGGACTTGGAGTAGGACAACTTGGTTGTACTGGGGGCTCCTTCTGCTGCTGCTGCTGCTGCTGAGCTGGCTCTTCTCCTCGTCCGACGTTCATGTTGACGTCTCGGTTGGCCTTCTCCTCTTGGATGGCCCTCTCGATGAAGTCGATATGCTCGTTGATGGTGATCAGCTCTTCCTCTAAGTCGTACTGGGTCTTGGACAGCTCCTCGATGTTTCTTTTGTTTGTCTCGAGCCTGTCCTCGATCGAAGCTTTCCTCTTTGAAGCATTATGTGCCTGAATGTGTAACGGTTTGAGCATCGAGACTGCATACATATACATGGCGATCTCCGATCGAACATCGTCGTGATTGGTACCTGCTTGACCAGCTGCATACGCAACCATCGCCAGCCCGTTGATTTTGTTGAAACAATCTTTCCTGAACTTTCCAACTTCCATGGGGTCGTCCGTAGTTGGCGGAGCCGTCCACTTTGGATGTGATTCTGCTTCGGAAGGCGACGCCATGGATATCTTCGCAACCATTTTTTTGAACAATCGACTTGTTCATCGCAGCTAATTTGTTGGCATGGTGGTGGTCCTCTCTCGGCATACTGGGAGCACGGCTGCGCGGGCGACTCGGATATATTTTGGTATTCTGGTACATGTTCTTGCTTTTGCCCTTTCCCTTTCCCTTTGAACCTTTGAAATCTGACTGATGATCGATTGTCCAGCCATTGGGCCGTTGCTGTCCACAGAGGCAATACATATGATAATACTTGACCACCCGATAGCATCTCTGGCAGTTCCATGTCGCAACATCTGCATGGCCGTTCCATGTCATCTCTCGTCGTGTGGCAAAAAAGAAATCTGCGAGGCTCTGAAGCTCACGCAGGGATGGAATCGCTGGAATCAAAAAGTGTGAGGCCTATCCTCGGGACGCTCGGGCCAACCCCTTGGCTGCGTCCAAGTTCGAAGCGCCAGGGCAACGTTTCGAACTTGAGCCAAAATGGCTACGGTCTCCTCCTCCTCCTCCTCCTCCTCCCCCTCCTCCTCCTCCTCCCCCTCCTCCTCCCCCGGCGCCCGCCGCTACCCGCGCCCAGCGAGGCGGGCGAGCCGAGGCGACGGTGGTTGGCTTCTGTGCGGGGGCCCCGTTGCCACGGCTGCACGCGGCTCTACACAGAGCATGGTGCGCTGGGCCCCCGGGAGGGGCCCAGAGGGACCGGTTTGGCGCTGCCGACGTCTCACCTCGCCTGGCCCTCCTCCTCCTCCTCCTCCTCCTCCTCCTCCTCCTCCTCCTCCTCCTCCTCCTCCTCCTCCTCCTCCCCCTCCTCCCCCTCCTCCTCCTCCTCCTCCTCCTCCTCCCCCAGAAGGGGCCCAGGGACCGGTTTTGCGCTGCCGATGTCTCACCTCGCCTGGCCCTGTTTGCGTGCGGCATCTCGCCAAGCCCTGTTTGGGCAAGCCGCCAGCTCGAGGTGTTGTTTTCAAGAGGCTCGGCAAAGGACTCCACCCTGACTGCAAGAGGGTCGGGGTCACTGCCGATCTCGAGGATGTGGCCCCCCTCTGAGGGGCTCGTTGGCCGTGGATGTCAGAAAAACCCGCTTGGCCCCAGATACTGCGATCAGCGACCACTGCGACCCGCGCACGTCCCTCACGTTTTGAAAGAATCAGCTACTCCAGGTATCGTAATAAAAGGGAGGGGGTCTGGACCCTCCAAGACAAGCCATTTCAGACCTCCCCCGTGGGAGAACCCTCCAAAACATCGTCCCCAGACCCCCCCAGACCCTCCAAGATAGCCTGGAAGAGACCCCCCCGAAATGAGACCCCTCTCTCTTTATTACGAAATCTGGAGTAATGTTTCAAGCCTTGCTGCCAGCCCTCCTGGTTGCTGGGCCCTCGCTTTTTCCTTCCGCGGCGCTCCGCGTCCTCTTCCCGACACGCGTCCTCATCATCCTCGCCTTTGCTCTTTCCGGTACACCCCTCACAGTTTTCGTGGCACCATTGGGCCACAGGGAGCTTCACAGTGGGCGCGCTCGCATGGCGTACGAGGACCATTTCGGCACACCCCTCGTCGTGGCCCAATAGGGAGCTCCACATACGGTCCCAGTTGCGCGCTCGCATGGCGTATGCAGGTCCTTCCGGCACACCCCTCACACGCTTCGTGGGTCTATAGAGAGCTACACCGACGGCCCCAGCGGCAGGGTCCGCATGGCGTGCCCGCATCCATTTCGGTACACCCCTCGCACGCTTCATGGGCCCAGCGGGAACTCCAGTTACGGCCGCGGCAAACCCGCCCCCGTTTCGCCACACGCCCAGCCGCGCAGGCGCGCACGCTCCGTGGTCCCAGGCGGAAGCTCCGCCTGCGGCCCCAGCAGCAGCTCCCGCACGGCGTGCCCGCCCCCTATGCCAGCACAGCCCTTCGCACGTCTCGTGGCCCCCCTTAGGTTGCTGCACCTACGGCTGCAGGTGGCACAGTCCGGGTGGTGTACCCATGGACTTTTTCGGTGTGGGAGCGTCGCGCTTTCCATCGCAAAACCATCGAGGCCCGAGAAGCCCGGGGCCCCCTGGAGGCAAGCCGGGTGTTTCTTGGCGTGGGCCCCCGCTGTGACCTTGGCCGACTGCGCCCCGATAAAGAACCCGCTCAGAACCAGCCCCGAACCGCTCTGGGTCCGTGCCCCAAGCCTCGTCGGGCCGTGCCTTCGACATGGGGCCCTCCAAAGACCCAGAAAAGGACGAGGACGAAGAAGATCGTACCTAAAGGTGTTCGACACACCACTCACACGTTTTCGCTCTCGAGAGGGGGTCCAGCGTCCCTCTGCGCGCCTGCCCCCCAGCCGCCTGTACGCCCTGCCCTGCGGCACGCAGCATAGGAAGCCGGGGCCACAGCCTGCGCTGCACGCAGTTGCATGGGGTTGGCCATTGTGTTGCGCTTCTGGATCGGCCGAGCCGCTCTGCTCGGAAGCTGGGCGAGGGCTGCCAAAGCCGTGGCTGCTAAAACGGCCCTCCCGGAAGGAAAAAACAGCTTCCCGGAATGAAGCGCGGCACGCGAAACAGTCAACGGGCTTCTGCCCGGAAGGACGAAGACAACTTCCCGGAGGCCGGTTTTAGCAGCCACGGATTTAGCAGGCCTCACCCGGCTTCCCATCTGCTGGCAAGCGCGCGCCCTCGCCAGGAGCTGGTGCGCCATCCCAGCTTCGACGAGGACAACCTCAGGGACGCGAGGGCGTCACTGGCGTCACCCGCCCCATCCACCCGCCGTGGCTCCCGGAGGAGCTTCGCCGCCGTCAGTGAGCTCGGGGGCGAGGCCACACGGCGGCCCGACGGCCATCTTTCGCCTCCTCGCCCCGCCAGGAAGGCAGCAGGCCCCGGGAGAGAGGTGTCTTGGCTCTATTTTTTGGCAGAGTTCGAAAGCTTCGGGAGCGTCTTCCCGGGCCCCGAGACGGGTCAATCCGCGGAGGGCGAGTTGAGACAACGGTGGTTGGGCCTGCGTCGCCACGGCCGGACGCAGCTCGGAAGCATATGGTGCGTCTGGTGCTTCTCAAGCGGCCAGGGACCGCTTTTGAGCTGCTGCTGTCTCAACTCGCCTTGCTCCGAGCCAAAAACCACCCAGGAAGAACTGGTTCCTGGGAAAGGCCCCGGGCTCCGTGTCGTCCCGTGATGACGCGGCAGCGACCCCAGCACGAGCGTTCCATGTTGAACGGCGCCAGTGGCCGCGAATCGGCGAATATCGAACCAGTCGCACAATCGGAAAACCGCAAACTGTTCCAGTGTTTCCCCCCTTCGTTTTGCAATTAACGTTTGCAAAGGCTTCCTCTGCTATTGCAATGGCTTCTTGTAGCTGTCACGATGACGTCCAAACAATCGCCCAATAGTCGCCAAACTCAGAAATAGAGTAGAGTAGAGTAGAGTAGAGTAGAGTAGAGCAGAGTAGGTAGAGCATGATAGAGTAGAGAAGGGAGTAGTGTAGAGGAGAGTAGAGTACAGTGAGAGTGAAGTAGGAGTTTAGCAGAGTAGAGTAGATTAGAGTAGAGTAGAGCACAGTAAAGCAAATGAGGTAGATTGTAGAGTAGAGCCGATAGACTCGAGTGCGGTTCGTGAAAATAGAGAAGGGTTGAGTATGAGTAGAGTAGAGTAGAATATTATATACTAGACTAGAATATAATAGAGAGTAGAGCAGAGCAGAGTAGAGTAGAGTAGAGTAGCGTCGGTAGGGTAGGGTAGAGCAGGGTAGAATAGAGTAAGGTAGATGGTAGAGTAGAGTCGGGTAGAATAGAGTGAAGTAGAATCTGGTAGTATCGAGTAGAGTAGGGAAGAGCAGATGAGTATAACAGAGGAAAGGAGAGGAGAGGAGAGGAGAGGAGGGCTAGAGCAGAGTCCAGTAGAGTGGAGTAGAATAGAGCAACGTAGGGTATGGTAAAATAGAGCAGGGTAGAGCAGAGTAGAGACGGGTAGATGGTAGAGTAGATCCAGGCATGGAATAACATTGGTAGAGGAGAAGAGAGTAGGGTCGAATATGAATAGAGTAGGAGTAGAGTAGAAGCAAGGCAACGTAGAATAGACTAGAGCAGGGTAGGGTAGCGTAGGCTAGGGTAGCGCTGAGTAGGGTATAGTAGAGTAGGGTCGGGTAGGTGGTCGAGTGGAGCAGGGTACAATGTAGTAGAGTAGAGTCGGTAGAATAGAGTAGGTGAGTAGAAGTGGGGTAGGGTAGGGTCGGGTAGGGTAGGGTAGGGTAGAGCGGAGTAGAGTGGAGTAGCGTAGGATAGACGATAGTGTAGAGTCGGATGTAATAGAGTAGAGTGGATTAGAGTAGACCAGAGAAGAGCAGAATAGAGCAGACTAGCGTAGAGTAGGGGGGAATATCTTTGGGCAGGGGAGGCTAGCGTAAAGTAGGGTAGAGTAGAGAAAAGCAGAGTAGGGTAAGAGTTGGGTAGATGGGCCAGTCTCCTCCAGTCCAGTATACTGTATCTTCTAGTCCTCCCCAGTCCACTTCATGCCACTCCCCAGACATGTTTGAGTCTGCGCTGGCTGACATGTTTTGTGCCCGTGGCGAAACGAGGATACTGCTGATCCGCGGCCGCTCTCCCTTCGCCTTGCCTGCCGCACCCGGGGGCCCTGCAGCTGGCCTGTCGCTCTGGCGCCCGCAGCGCGAGCGACGACCTTCGGCACCGGGCCCGCCCAGGCAGTGCGCCCAGCACACCTCCGCCCGAGGCTTCGCGGCTCGGTGACGGACCTGCTTCGACTGCTCGTGGTGCTCACTGCAGAGAGGGAGCCTCGACCGAGGGGCTCTGGCAGCTGGAGGCCCACCTCCTCCTCCTCCTCCTCCTCCTCCTCCTCCTCCTCCTCCTCCTCCTCCTCCTCCTCCCCCTCCTGCTCCTCCTCCTCCTCCTCATCATCATCATCCCTCCTCCTCAGAACGCCGCCGCCGGCCCGAAGCTGCTGCAGGATGGCCTGGCCGTTCATGAGCCAGGCCGCCGAATATCCGCCCTCGGGCTGCGGTTGCCGCGGCCACGGGAGGAATGGTCGCTCGCCACCTTCCCGGCCGGAGAGCCTTCTCAGTAGGCCCGAACATCATCGGGGGCGGAAAAGAGGGGGGTGATGACTAGGGGGGGGTGGATATCATGGCGGGGGTCATGATATTTCCCCAGATTTCATGGCGCCTCTTCTTATTTCATTACGTCGCTGGCCCCCCAGCTGGGCCGCGCACATGCCGCCGGTCATGATTTGCACCCCCCCCTCTTGGACACTCCCCTCTTGGCCGCTCCCGACATCAGACCCGGTTCAGAAATCAGAGAAGGGAGGGTTGACACAACGGCAGTTGGGTTTCGGGGGCCCCCTCGCCGCCGTGGTTGGACTCAGGTCGGCAAACTGGTGCGTGTGGGCCCCAGGAGGGGTCCGGGGACCGATGGCGAGGCGTCGTTGCCTGAGCCCGCCCTGCTCCGAGCCTCAACACTGCGACCCACGGCATGGACAGGTCCCGCCCGGGGGGGATTCGCGGCAGCGCCCATTGCACAGCAGATTCGGTCACGTCCGCAGGCCTCTGCAGGAGGCAGGCAGATCGACCCCAGGGGCAAAGGAGAGCAGCGCCTCGCCGGGGTCATCAGTGGACAGCTCGCCTCCGTCCGGCGGGACACGCAGCGCTACATCACCACATCCTGGCAGCGGCGATGTCGCTGCACGGCAGGAGCTCGCATCGGCGCTGGAAATACAATTGGCGCTCCAAGACCAGGCGAAAGATCTGCAGCAGGCGTTGTCCTTCGCAGAGGCATCCACCAACAACGACTTCGTCGACGTTGCCCACCCGGCCATCTGGGACAGGCCACAAAACCCCAACTTTTCAGCCTCAACACTGCGTCCGAGACAACAAAAAGCGGCCGTCATGGAGGGTATCGCCGAGTGGCTCGATCACGCGCGGGTCAAAATAGAACGCACCAAGATCATCGGCCAGGACATCCCGTCAAAAAAGGACGTGCTTCACTGACCTGGCTCAGAAGGACGCAGGTGTCATTCGTGCTCACGCTCTCAGACTGGCGCCCCGCTACGAGAAGGGCAAGTTTCGCAAGTTCTCGGCGACGTCGGTGATCGGCACGGAGACGAACATGGATTCCACTCGCTTCGCGGGGAGCACGTGCACGTCCGGACTGCGGAGAGCGCGGGCGCTTGGTTCGTTTTGGGAAATGCTCGGCGCGTCTTGCAGGCATTGACCTCACGAGACTTGGCGGATTTGGAGGAGAGCCCCAAGCAGTCCTCGGGCGCGCTGGGGTCGCATGGATCCTTCGAGAGACGTTTCGGGGACCACTCCTGTGCCCAGCTCTGCAGCGAAGCGAAGTACCTGAGAGGAAGAAGTGTGCTGGACCTCGCCGCGCACGTCGAGCTAGGTGCAGCATGTCAACGTTTTGACGAGGGACCGCCTGTACAAGCGTCGCACATGCACGGAGGACCAGCTTGCGGAACTGTTTGATGAAGGTTTCCGTACGATGAACAAGGGTGTTTTCGCGCACCTCAGTGAGTTTTCTTGGGGGACTTTTGGCCTGTGGGAGTTTTTGATGTTTTTCGAGGGTTCTGTAGGGCCTCGCGGGCCATGTCGGTCCGTTGGGGAGCCGCTTTGGCGGGTTTGGAGCCCGTCTGACACCTCAGGAGGCCATCTTGGGGGCTTTTCGCGCCGCCTTGGGGCGTTATCGGGGTCCTCTTGGGCCGTCTTGGGGGCATCCTGGACCGTGTTGGGGTCCGTCTTAGGTTGGTCCGGGGCTGTATTGGAAAGTTTTTGGGCCTTTCGGGGGCCCCTTTGGCCGCTGCGTTGGCCGTCATTTGTTTTTGAGAGTCGAAGCAGGCGAAAACAATAAGATCCGTCAGAAAAAGAATGGAAAATCCATGAGTTTGGTCTCTGGAGGCGCTGTTGTGGGTGCTGTTGGGGCCCTCGTGGGCTGTCTGGGGAGCCTCATGAGGCCTGGACGGGCCATCTCGGGCTGTTTTCGGGCTGTCTTGTCGGGCCCCGAGTCCATCCTAGACAATTCTGCAGCAGTCTAAAGCTTCCAAGAGGCTCCAGAGGCCCAAATCGTCGATGTCCCGTGGTGTTTTAAAGGTTTTAAGAGCACGAGGAGGGGGGGTACACCTGGGCTCGGCGGAATGGCGCGACTCCAAGGGGGGGGTGGGGGGAGACATAAGAATGTAATACCATGCAAGATGTAACAATGATACAACCATCGGATACAATGAATACGTTGCATTCGGCGTTCGCCGAAAAACGCTGCCGCTCAGCACGTTACCTCCGGACGTGGATTCTAGCGGCTTGCGCCATTCCGCCGACCCCCAGAGCAGGCGCGGAGTCCACCGTTGAGGCGTCGTGGGCTTCTTGGGCACCATGGGGGGGGGATATTCTGGGCGTTTGGGGGGGCTGTCTGGGGGCTTGGCGGAGCCTCTTGGAAGGCAGTTTTCAAGCGTGTTGGGGGGCCGCCTTGGGGCCTCTTTTGAGTCTTGGGGCTTCTTGGGGCCGTTTGGGATCTTCTTGGAGCCTTTGGGGGGCCTCCTGGGGCGGAAGGATCGGATTTTCGGTTCGTGTTCTCCCTCTTCGCCATCCTTGGGGCCGTCTTGGGGCGGTCTTTGGCCGTCTTGGGCCCTTCTTCGGGCAGTCTTGGAACCCTTCTGGGCCTTCCTGGGGCCCTCGTGAAGGGCATTTCGGGCAGCTTCGGGGCGGTCTACGGGGCCTCTTGGGCTGTTTTGGAGCGTCGGAAGTTCGAGAAGACGATCAGCCCAGAAACAACGAAAAACTGCAGGAAAACCATTGATTGTTGCCTCTCGGGGTCTTCTTGGGAAGGCTCTTGGGGCGTCTCGATGGCGTCTTGGGGCGTCTTGGAGCAATGGCAGGCGTCTTGGGCCAATCGTTCCGCGATTCGGGACCGCCTTGGAAAGTTCTTGAGGCCACGAAAGCCCGATGTGGAAGCTCTGGAGTCTCCAGGGATGCGCCAGAGAGCCCGGATACCCCCCCCCCTCAAATTGGATGTTGGACCTTGGTCTAGGCCTCCTAGATGGGATCCGAGTAGATGGGGTCGGAGGATCGCGCCGCATCGCCGATGCATCGGCAATGCGGCTCGATGTGGAGCCCGCGATTCCCCACGCCGACGTCGGCGATGCATCGCCGACGTCCCCGACGCATCGCCGATGCGTCGGCGATGTATCGGCGATGCGGCGACATCCTCCGTCCGACCCCACCCACGCGGACCCCATCCAGGAAACCTCTGCCTGGGGAAGGGGGATACGGGAGGGAGGCAGCCAATTACCTCACATGCCGTCTCACCCCCGGCACGCGGGGGTCTCGACGGACCATGGCCCAGGTCGAAATCTCAGGTTGATCAATATAGACGAAGAAGTGTATGCCGATTCCTCGACGACAGCTGCCAGCCCGCGAGTTGTGGGTGAAGCTTAGCGCTAGCGTGGCCCACGGCGGAAACTTGCCCATGTCTGAAGTCACCCCTGGAGCTGCTATCAACGATCCCACAACGTTGGCATAGAGCCCTCAGCCCACCGCCCTATACAAGGACTCTGCCATCACGTCAGTCCTCAATATGTTCCGCGCTGCGTGTACCTCGGCATCGAAGCCGCCTGTGGGAGCTCGAGTTTGGGGAGCAGCAGATTTGGATTGTTGCGTGGAACGCCTCAGCCCGTCTCTGCCGAGATCATATCCGACGATTGAATTAGATCTCTGGGGTGGCTCCCCGCCCTCCTCCTCGAGGCCGTTTGAGCCCTCCTCGGCCTCCTCCATCGGGGACCCCCCCCGCGGCGCCCAGCTTTGCCTGTTTCGATCCGCGGGTTACGACACGCCGCGTGATCCGACGTCTCCGCGAGCCACTCCTCGCGATCGATCAGTGCACGCAGGCTCGATGTCAGTTCCCCCCAGCGCTAGTGGAGATGGCACCTGCGCTGCCCTTGCAAGGACAGGCTGGCCCGCGTGGAAGGGGCCGTGGTTAGGAAGGATGAGGACTCTCCCCTGGTTACGTCCGCCTCCTCCTCCTCCCCCTCCTCCTCCTTCTCCTCCTCTTCCTCCTCCTCCTCTTCCTGTTCCTCCTCCTCCTCCTCCTCCTCCTTCGCCTCCCTCTTCCTTTCCCGTCTAGTTGTTCCTCCTCCCCCTCCTCCTGCCCATTTTCCTCCTCCTCCTCTTCCTCTTCCGCCGCCGCCGCTTCCTTCATCTTTATCCTCCACCGTTCCTTTTCCTTATGAATAATCTTCTCCGGTCGCACCCAGAAGCCAGTTTTGAGGGGGGCTGGGCGTTTCTCCTGAGACTTCCTCACCACTTATGACTCTGAAGCTTCAACATTGTCAACAGGTTCACGGATTGAGGGCGGGTCGATTTCAACATGTGGCTCTCGCCTTAGCGCGGCGCACACTCGCTTTTTAAATGTGCAAGAGCTTCATGGATCGAGGGCGGCTTTTTTTCAAAACGTGGTTCTCGCCTTAGCGCGGCGCACACTCATTGCAAAGCATTGCAAAAGTGTCACGTATTGAGGGCGGGCCGTTTTCAAAATGTGGTTCTCGCCTGAGCGCGGCGCACATTCGTTTTCGAAATGTGCAAGAGCTTCACAGATTGAGGGCGGGTTGCTTTCAAAAGGTGGTTATCGCTTTAGCGCGGTGCACATTCATTTTAAACAGTTGCAAGACTTTCACGGGTTGAGGGCGTGTCGTTTTCAACATGTGGTTCTCGCCTTCGCGCGGCGCACATTCGTTTTTCAAATTTGCCATAGCTTCCCGGATTAAGGGCGGGGCGTTTCCAAAAGGTGGTTATCGCTTTAGCGCGGCGCACATTCGTTTTCAGAAGTTGCAAGAGTTTCACGGGTTGAGGGTGGGTCGTTTTCAACATGTGATTCTCGTCTTAGTGCGACGCATATTCGTTTTACAAGTTTGCAAGATTTTCACGGATTCACGGCGGGTCGTTTTCAAAAAGTTGTTCTCGCTTTAGCGCGGCGCACTTTCGTTTTGAAAAGGTGCAAGAGTTTTACGGATTCCCATCATTAACGTGTCAGAAATTGTGCTCTGAAAGGATTCAGGATTATGCGGGTGCAACAGTTTTGTTGATTCGCTGTGTTGAAGTCTCACGGATAGCGTTCTGGCACTATTCAGGGTTGTCAAGACGCAACAGTCAGGTTGATCCGTGGCGTTGGAATCCCGAGAATGATGTTTTGGCACGTTTCAGGGTCGTCAAACGGTCGTCTTCCAAAGGGGCAGTTCCTTCAATGGAAGTGAACCGTTGTATGGGGTTTGTGAAGAGGGAGCTTGGAGGGAGGGTTTACGCCGACATCGTTGATGACTCTTGGATGTAGACTAGTCCTCCTCATCATCTTCCTCCTTCTCCTCCTCCTCCTCGTCCTCCTCCTCCCCCTCCTCCTCCTCCTCCTCCTCCTCCTTATCCTCATCCGCCTCCTCTGTTTCCTCCCTCGTCCGCTTCCTCCAACCATTCGGTTCGCGCCAAACTTTCACCGGCGCGAAGTAGATTCGGTTGCTTCGCGGCCTCGGCCCCAAAGTTGCCCTCCTCCGGACAGGCGGCGCGAGGTTGCGAAGAAAACACCTCGGCATCGCTTGGCGCGAAGGCGCGAAGCCTGGCACAGCCAAGACGCGGAAAGGATGACCACGTGGAGTTCCCGAGTGGTTCTGTTTGTCGGGCCGCTGCGGCGACTGCAGGACAATGTGGGTACCACAAATGGTTGTGTGCCGCTGGTTTCGGCTCTACCGCCAGCCAACATGGTCGCTCCTGACGCCCTGCGACGCCCGAAGAGCATGTCATTTGCGGTCGATCCGCTACCCCCCCCCCTGCTAACCTCCGCTGTCGTTCGCACCAGCAGAGGGAGAGTTGCGACCATGGTAAGGGTCACTGCAGCGCGCTCGAAGCGCGCGCCCTACACTATGCGCGCCGAAGAAGAAAGCAGCCCACCAGCAGGTGCTTCACGGAAGTGGATTATCCCCCCGACGCCTCGGGAGGCCTGACCACAATTGGGACACCGTCGGCAGGTTCAGGATGCATGACGAAATTGTCCCCAGATTTCTTATCGCGCGCACCTGCTGTGTGTGCGTTACCCTTAGCTCGGAGCCGAAAAGCTGAACAAACATGAGCGTTCGGAGTTCCGTGCGGAATTCCAGAACTTCATGTGTGTATATATATATATATGTGCGGTTGTCTCTTCCTCTGCTCTGGACGTCATCCCCAGGCCGAGCTCCAGACGTTCGAGGCCCTGCCCCCGCAGACGCGGAAGCGGTCCAGCATCAAGGCGCGGAAGCGCGGAAGAATGCCGGGACGGGGGGGCGTGCGGGAGCGGATGCGGAGGGATCGGCTACACTCAAAAGTTATGTTTCGCCGGCGCGCTGGGATCCCCGGAGGATGGCCGGATGCGAAGCAGGAGGAGCGGCTTGCGCGCTCGCGTTTGGCTTCCTCGAACGAACGAACGAAAGAAGCCGCGCCCAGACGGCGCATTGGCAAGCTAAATAACAACACATGCGATCAGGAAACATGCAGGGCAGGAGCGTGCAAGCGCTCGGGCATCGCCGTGCCTCGGATTGCAAGGCACAGGCATGCCGGCGCAGCGCGAGGGTGGACGGCAAAGCACCGGCCAGGGGGGAGGGGAAAGGAGGGGGGGAGGGAAGCTTGGCTTCCTCGCGCCCCCCGAAAGCCGCGCACCAGAGGTCACTCTTGCCTGGGGTCACTCTTGCGTGCAGCCGAGAAGGGACATCGGAAAGAGGGCCCCTTGCGCCACCACCGAGCATCCAGCAGGACGCGTAAACAGAAGAGTGCGCAACGTGCAGCTCTCCGGAAACCAGAGTCAGAAAGGCGACACGGAGACCCCGCTATGAAACAGAATACGAAATGCATCAAGATTGTGTCACAGAAAGCAGGGTTTCGACGCCAGTCAGTCGTCGAATAATGATATGTTGCATAAGCATGAGCTTTCGGAGTCGGTGCTGATTTCTGAGGTCGGCGCTGGACCCCCCTTGGCGGCGCCTCTGGCGCCGCCGCTGGCGCCGTTCCTGGCGCGCGAATCCGCGCGGACCTCCGAAAGTGGTAACGTGTGTCTTGGCATCGCTCGGACGTGTGCATTTTTTCTCGGCGAGAACCATCGAGGACCATCCTGGACCATCGAACAAAAAAAACACGCACGAAACCAAAAAATACACGGGAAATGGACGTCCGAGCGACGGCAAGGTGTGCAGATGTGGTTTCTTCTGCTCGCGTGTGCGCGACGCCCCCTGTCTCCCTCCTTGCCGTCCTTCAGCGCGCGTCTTTGAGATGGAGGCAGGGAAGAGGACGATGACTGCGACGACGCTGGCGACGACGTCCGCGATGATGATGACGTCGGTGGCGGCAAGGATGGTGAGGGCGAATCGAAAATACCTGGGGAAAAAGGGGAGCGAAGAAAGAGGAAAAAGCGGAGGAGGAGGACGAAGACGACGAGGAGTGGTTGAGGGAGGAGTTGAGCAGGTAGTTATACGTCGAGAGAGACGCGCAAATTGCAGGAGGAGGAATTCAGGGTGAATTCCATAGTTTGCAGCGTCAGCGACAGGAGGAGCGGAGGCAGGAAGCAGCTGGAGAAAGCCAGTCCGCACACGATAGCTTATCCAGCGCGCGAGTCGTGCCAGCGTCGCTGAAGAAGGGCGGGGAGGAGGACGGTAACGATGAGGACAAGACTTCTTTCTCCTATTCCTATTTATCTTGTGCCTCTCCCTCCTCCTGCTCCCCCTTCTCTCCCTCTCCCCAAGCCCCGGCCCCTCCTGTCCCATGTTTCTCTCCCCCCCGTTCCCTTCCTGCTCCCTCACCGGCTCCTGCTGCTGCTGCTGCTGCTGCTGCTGGTTCTCCTCACCCTCCTCCTCCTCCTCCTCCTCCTCCTCCTCCTCCTCCTCCTCGTCCTCCTCCTCCTCCTCCTCCACCTCGTCACCATCATCATCGCCATCAGCGTCATCATCAGCATCACCAACAACAGCATCATCAGCATCAGCATCATCATCAGCATCAGCATCAGCATCAGCATCGTCAGGATCAGCATCAGTATCGTCAGCATCATCAGCATCATCATCATCAGCATCACCGTCAGCAACATCATCAGCACCAGCAGCATCAGCATCATCACCACCAGCATCCGCAACCTCATCTGCAACAGCCTCATCATCATCGGCATCAGCATCAGCATAATTGTCTTCATCGTCTGCATCACCTTAACCATCACAATCACCATCACCATCAGCATCATAGCCCGCTTGGCTTTGCTTGGGTCAAGGGCCTGACGGTGCTGCACCTGCAGCTCCGTCGGCGCGCGCGCATGGCGGTGGCCGCTCGGTTGGGTTGGATCCTCAGCCAGCTGCTCGAGGGGCGGCAGGGACGAGTTCGGCTCCCGTCGCACCGTGATCGTCTCCTGGCTCATGTGGTGCTCCTGCCAGCTGATCACCCTTGCATGGCGATTCGCGCTCGCATCGATGTGATAACTTCCGCTACTCACAGGCTACATGAGAGTATCTCCGTTGATCACGGTTACAAAATCAGCAAGGGTGAAGCTCACAATTCTCTTGAATTGCGTCGTGCTCCTGGTGCCTCTGAAGTACAACCTGATGACGATTGGGATGACCATGACAAGCCTGGTCCTGATCAAGATGCTCCGCCTGCCCGTGGGCCTAAAGGCGGCGAGGGCGACCCCTCTCGGGGACAACGACGAGGTCCAGGCCCGTTGGCATACAGGGTCAGGCGGTCCATGGTCTTCGCCCGGTCGACCGCACAAGGCGCCAAGTCAACGACCTCCTGCGGCAGGGGTTGAGGCATCGCCTGCTCGACCATTGGCACTCACACCTGTGCCGACGTTCCCCGTCAACTCTGAGGCTCCTGCGTTTTTCTTTGCTGGTGGAGACGGTGACCGAGACGACGCACATGCCGATTTACGTTCGGATCGTCAGGTTCGAGCGGATCTTCCTGATCTCCTTGTACGTGGTGCGAGTCCTCTTTTGCATGCGGGTGTTCCCGCACGCGCAGATACTCCTGAACGTGCCGCTCGTGGTGTCGATCTCCTGGATCGTGCTGCGTTTTCTGATCTGGCGGGGGCCGCGGCACGTCTGCAAGGGCATCTCGCGGTTGCCCCTTCGCACACGCATGGTTTCGTTCCCGTTCGCGCGGGTCTTTTTGATTTCCCAGTGCTTGGTGCTGACCTTCCTGTACAAGCTGATCCTCCTGCACGTGCGGATCTTGATGCCGAGCTTCCAGCCTGCGGATCTTCCTGATTTGGCGGTGGTCGCCTTACTTCTGCAAGGTCACGCCGGAGCGGTCTCATCGCAATTATGTGCGGATCTTCCCTGTATTCCTGGACGTGATGGTCCTCCAGCATGTGTGGGTTCTGATGTGGATCTTCCCGTTCGCGCGGATCGTCTTGTTTTGGCGGTGGTCGCTGCACTTCTGCAAGGGCACACAGAGGCGGCCTCATCGCAATTGGATGGCCTCGGTTTTGTATGTGCGGATCTTCCGGGTATCCCTGTACCAAGTCCTTGTCTTCCTGTACGTGTTGGTCCTCTTACACGTGTGGGTTTTGATGATGATCTTCCAGTTCGTGCTGATATTCCTGATCTGGCGGGGGTCGCTGCGCAGCTTCCTGGCGTTGGTGCCCCTCCACGTGGTGGTGTCGAGGAGGATGTGTGTGCGGACAGCACGTTGGCTGCTTTCCAGAACATGCTGGACAGGCAGACGGCTATGTTGGAGGAGACTCTTGACCGTATGCTCCCCGAGGATGTGCCTCCTGCTGTTCGTGAGCTTTCTGCTGCCCCTGCGAGATCATACAGGTGTTGATCTGCACGAGGTACGCGCGGAGCTGGTCCATGCTACCGCCCTGGCGCGTAGCTAGGGCCACTCGTCTCTTGTCGTGTTTCCTCTTGTCGCTTTGTCTCATCGCTCTGTCGCCTCCCCTCTCGTTTCCTGTCCGCCCGCGCTGTCGTTTCTGCGCTTTGGGTTCGTCGTTGTTTCCCCCATCGGTCTCTTCTTCTTCCTCGTCTCATTCGTTCCCTCGTCGTCCTCCTTCGGGCTTGAAACAAACCACACTTGCAGTGGGATTGGAAAATCAACACCACCACCAGCATCATCAGCAGCTGCAGCATCTTCATCCGCAGAGCCACCATCACCATCGTCGTCACTATCGTCAGCCATCATCGTCATCATCAGCATCAGCACCATCAACGTCATCATCATCAACATCATCATCACCATCATCATCATCATCATCATCATCATCATCCATCATCGTCATCATCATCGTCATCGTCATCAGCATCATCATCATCATCGTCATCATCAGCATCATCATCGCCATCATCGCCATCATCACCATCGTCATCGCCATCGCCAGCGTCATCGTCCCGCGCGCGCGCTCGAAGCTTGCGAGCGGATCTTGACGCTTGAGCGCGAATCGGTGCGCCCTGATTAGCGTGCACTCCGCCGAACGCCTCGCGGCTGCGGCTGACGGCGGGGCCGCACGACCCGCGGCCGCGGGCCAACCAGCCGCTGCACGGACCGGTGCGGATAAGCCGTTCCAGGAAGGGCGTCTTTTCCTCGGCCGAAGGTCGGCGGAAGCTGGCGGAAGTCGGAATCAGCCCCCGTTGCGGTGGCAACCTCTTTGGGTTCAGGGTTTCCAGGACCCGCCAGATGTGGCCCACCTCACTTCTTGCAGCAACAAAAAGGTTTCCATTACCCCTGATCGCGCGCTGGGGCAGGGCGGCCAGGAATGGGGCGAACATGTCCGAGGGCAAGAACATGTGAAGACCATACTGCTGTGAAGGCACACATGTTTTTTCTTTCAGCGAAGGCAAACTCAAAGCAATCTGCTCAGCCTTCAATAAGTAAAGAAGTAAATGGAACGCCTTCGGCACAGAGCCCTGCCTTCTGTGAAATCCGTGGCGCTTCGCGTACCCCCACTGGCCCACCCAGGAACGAAGGAATTAAGGAAGGAAGGAACGGAAGAGGACAAGGGAAAGGAGCAAGGAAGGAAGGGAGGAAGGACGAAGGGAGGAAGGGAGGAAGGAAGGAAGGAAGGAAGGGAGGAAAGGAGAAAAGGAGGAAGGGATGAGGAAGGAAGGAAGGAAGGAAGGAAGGAAGGAAGGAAGGGACGGAAGAAAGAAGGGAGGTAGGAAGGAAGGAAGCAAGGAAGGAACGGACGAGGACGAGGACGAGGAGTATGAGGAGGCGGCTCTTCAGGGGGTGCCATGGGCAGCTCGAAGGGCACGTGGAACCGTCGTGCCACCTTAGCCGCCTGCACGCCTCGGGCCCCTCCCCCGAGCAGGGCAAGGATGGGGCTCTGGAAAAGGGACGTGGCAACTTTCGGACGTGTGCACCTTCCCTCGGCGAGGACCATCGAGGAACATGGTAGGTCACCCTGCGAACAAATACACGCACGAAACCGAAATATGCACGGGGAATGGACGTCCGAGCGAGAGCGAGGGGAAGGAGAGAACTCGTTTTACCACCTCCGCCCAGAGGGCTGGTGGGGATTTCTACCCCGGACGACACGCTATGGCACGACGGCATATCTTCCTTACCTGCCACGCGCATTTAGTGCATCCCCTAAACAAGGGAAGAGAGGACGGGTGGAAGGGGGAGGGAGTAGAATGGAGCACGAGAGAAACCAGTAGGAGGGAGGCAAGGAGCAGAAAACAAGTGGTAGAACCAGACAGGCAGATCGGGTGGGCAGACCCATAGTGGGCAGGTCGGAAGGCGGGCCCAGGCGACCAGGTCAAGCGGGCGGGCGGGCCGAGCAGGCGGATCGACCGTGAGTTCTGCGTGATTAGCCAGGAAGTTTCCAGCGAGAGAGCGATTCCAAAGTAAATTTGAGGAAGTCCCCAGCGAACGCGCGATTCCTGAATGGCAAGTGCGCGGCGCCTGAATAAGTTGCGAGGAAGACTCAGGCGGGAGCGCGAGTCTTGAGTAAATTGCGAGGAAGTCTCAAGCGGGAGCGGGGGACTGGAGTACATTTCGAGGAAGTATCAAGCGGGAGCCGTTGTTGTTGTAAACCGGGGGCTAGGGGCACAGTTTGAGGAGGAAGAGCTTCCCTGATAAAAAAAACAGGGTGCGAACGCCGGGAGGGGCACTTCAATTGGAACATTCAATGTGCACCGGAGGGGCTGGTCAACAATAGTTATCTTTCAGTAGTGAGACTTCAACGACAACAGCAACAGCAACAACAACAACAGCAGCAACAACAACAACAAACTTATAAACATAAATTGTCGGAAATCTGCGCGACGTTCTCGGGTCAGCGCGGGGCCCCCCTTGCGAGTCCAGATGCATTAACATCATGTGCGGAGCTCCGCGCGGGTTTCTCGGATCGGCATGGAACCCCCCTTTGCGCGCTCCGCGCGCCAGGGAGGGGAGTCCAGCGCCGATCCGAGAAATCCGCGCGGACCTTCGAAAGTTGATGCGTCCTCCGTCGTGATTTTTCACAACGTGGCTCCCCAGAGGTCTGGACCCCTTCCCCGGGAAGGGCGTCCCATGCAGAGTCATTATTTGGCGGTCTTGAGGCTCGGCAAGGGCCCCTGGAGGCTGATAACTGCCAGAGCGAATTATTTGTTAGTTGGTTTATGTATTCTTTATATATAATTGCTTTTATCTTGCCAAAAACTATTCCTTACTTCACGACGCGAGGATGCCAGGGATGATTGGTATGCTTGTTTCTGGTAA